ATGGACACCTACAAGAAGGTATGGTCATCATGCACGTGCGTGCACGTACAAATGAGTAAAATAGTGTAGACAAGATGATATCGTCATTACGCTCATGCAATCACATGCGCACGCCTACATTGCTTGGTATACTTTTGGTAAACCGTTGTTTACATCTTAAATGCATAGATTTTGCCTTCTTTAATGAAACTTACAGGGAATATGGCACGAGAAGGGAGTTGGGGAGCGTTTGGGGAACATCTGTAACGGTTCCCGTTACAATTAGCACTAGTTATTATTCTTTTTTCTTCTTATTTCTTCTCCGGTACTTTTTTTGTCCGGAAGTGTTCTCAGAAACTGTTCACCAAACTAAGTTAAAACCTTTTTAGGGTTAGTAGGCATGTTGTGTAGATGTGCCGAACGAAGGTCATTTTGCGCGCATTCGAATGCACGTGCGGGCGCGTGCAATGAGTTAAATGACTAATATATTTAATATGGTTGTAACTTTTATATTTTTTGATAAAATGTTTTGAAACTCATTATATAAAGATATATAAGATGTGTAGATAAGATGACATGGTCAAATTTGCATGAACTCACGCGCATGCACGTGCGCTTTGCTCTGATTGGCTGAAACAGAAATCTCAATATCTTTTTTGTTTTATGATGAAATGCTTTGATACTTATAACATAGACATGCATTAGGATGTACTACAATATAATATATAAAATTTTTCATGAAATCACGCGCATGCGCGTGCGCTGCAATCTGATTGGCTGAAACTTTAAATGAGTATAACTCCCTTGGTTTTCAACCAAACAGGATGGGATTTACAACATAGATAGACATAAAGGACTCCTACAAGACGGTATAGTCACCATTCACATGCATGCACGTGCGTGCACGTGCGCTTTGCTCTGATTGGCTGAAACAAAAATCTCAATATCTTTTCTGTTTTTTTACAAAATGCTTCGAAATTTAAAACATAAGCATACTTTAAGATGTCCTACAATATGATATATAATAATTGGCATGAAAATACGCGCATGCACGTGCGCTGCAATCTGATTGGCTTAAACTTTAAATGGCTACAATTCCCTTGTTTTTGAACCAAACAGGATGGGATTAAGAACATAGACATACATAATGGACTCCTACAAGAAGGTATGGTCATCATGCACGTGCGTGCACGTGCAAATGAGTAAAATAGTGTAGACAAGATGATATCGTCATAACGCTCATGCAATCACATGCGCACGCCTGCATTGCTTAAATTTGAAATACTTGGTATACTTTTGGGAAAACGTTGTTTACGTCTTAAATGCATAGATTTTGCCTTCTTTAATGAAACTTACAGGGAATATGGCACGAGAAGGGAGTTGGGGAGCGTTTGGGGAACATCTGTAACGGTTCCCGTTACAATTAGCACTAGTTTTGTGTGCACTGGAAATTACTTCTAATAGTGAGGCAAATTTATAGTAATTATTATTTTTCATGTGCATCGGAAATACATTTTAAGATAGTTTTATCTCTTTTGTTCATTGTTTTTGGTTGTTTTATGCACCTCTGTTGGACATATAAGTATCCAACCGATAGGTAGTTGGATATTTGAATATCCAACTGATGGCCAGTTGGATCTTTAAATAGCCAACTAGTGCTGGTTGAATCGGTAAAATATACGTAGACTTATAACAATGGGTGACGTCATAGAAGTTTTTTATTCTGTAAGCAGACACTTTGCCAACTCTGATACTTTGAATTATTATTATCTCGTAAATAGCATTTCTCAGAAAACGTCTATCAAGCTGAAGATGTCATGAAATCAGATATCTTAAAAATAGAACTATTTCTGGTATATTCACATATCATTTCATAAGTTTACATCACCGTTTACACTTTCAGATCTTAACTAAAATTCCAAAGTAAGGTTTCATAGTAAATCAAAGTATCAAAGTTTTTATTATAATTAACTATAGTAAACTATTTTTATACAGTTAACTTTAGTAAATGTTTTGTTAGTAGAGATATCCCTTAATCTTCGATTATGGGGAAACAATAGGAAATGAATGACATGTATTTTTTTAACTGCACAGGATCCTGTCTGGTAGTGAATGATGATGGAGTTGTTGATATAGTCAGTTGTCGCAGCTTCAGATATGGCTGTACCACAAAATTCTTCAAAAGTTCTGAGCTTTTTCATTGTGAGTGTTTTCCTAATATTTTCAATTGAGTATTCTCGAGATATATTCTAGAACAATTCTGCCAATTATTTTTTCCCTTTAATATGAGGAGCCTCTCAGTGCAAAATATTTTTTGGACATTGAGAAAAAACATTCCATAAAGCTTCTTTAATTGATTTTCACTATATGGTACATGGCATTTATACCCAGGCAAATAATCAAACAACACATTTAAGTGATGAGAAACCACTGTTGTTTACTTCCATGGGAAAGCACGTGTAAATAACAAGTATAATTAATTTATATTGGTCTTTTAAATACTTAAATTGATTACAAATTGTGTAATATACTGTAAACTATTTTTTAAAATTGAAATCTTAGGGTAGATCACTGTAACTTCTAAAGATGCCATAGAAATAGAACTCTTTAGTGTGTAGTGTAGAGAGAGCTCTTAAATTAAATTAAATCAAATTATTGTCGAAATTAATAGTTAAAAACATGCAGAATATGTTTAAGTTTACTTAATTATATTTTGAATAGATCCAGCATGCCATCAAATAAACAAAGAAGGTCGGTGTTTTTACGCAGATCCGAATTGTGAAAAGATGTAAGGAGGGGAAGTTGGGAAAGAGAAAGTTGTTTAAACATAATCAAAATTTATGTTGTTAAGATTTTGTTGCAATTATAATTATGAATAGAGAATAATTTGAATGTTTGCAGTTTATAAATAAGCAAACATCACTATTTGTGTAACATTTTACTGACTTTTTTTCTGTTGAAGCAGAGATCATGAGATTGCAACAAGTAACACCACGTTTGGCAACTTCAATACAACAATTAACGACGTTGCTTCCACCCTGGGTTATTCAAATGTAACTGAAGAAAGAGAGAATGACCACATTCCTGCTGGGGAAATTGCATTCATTACTATAGCATTAGGGGTTATGATACTGACTTTTCTTTTCCTTTTATATTGGTATAGACGTTCAAGGATGAAGAAAAAAATGGAGAAAAAATCTGAAAAACACGAAGATGTCACGGAGAGTATGTTCTGAACTCATCATCAGTGCATAGATTTTTTTAACGAACAACACAATATTGAAGTCAAATATATAAAAATCAAGTTCCTGTCCTTTAAAAAGGACTGCAAAACATGGACAATATGCATGGTTTCTAATTTAGTTAGAGAAAAAAATATAGGTTTAGTAAATATTCATCTAGGTTCGTTCACATTTCTACAGTGTTCTGTCTACTTTGACTGATAGTACTTTCATAGCAAAATTGCTCAATTTTATCTCCGGTTAACCTATAGTTTTGTCATTTTAAAAAATTAGACTATTTTGATACATGTAGCCCCAAACATTTGGGACTTGACATATGCTCTGGATTTATACGGAGAAAATCTATCATTAGAAAAAAGTTCTATCTCTTAAAAGCTAGAACTAGTCGTTAAATGAAGTTTTTAATTCATGTTAAGTTATCTATATGTTGCAAGTTCTTCCTGCTTTTCAAAATGCATGTGCCATAGAATCCATGTAAAGTTTGTTTATAAAAGTATAATAAAGAATTTTGGATCCGCCAATGAATCTATAAATACGATACGTAGATTTAAAAACGATATTTGTCAATCAATTGCATATTCTAATTCGAATAGGGCGAATTATTAAAATACGGGCAAGTTGTCTTAAGGCGAACTCTTTAGCATTCTTGTGCATGTGTAGCCAGATGTGTGCCCATGGCATCCGGTTTAACCTCGCTTATATACTTTTTTGTGTGGACTGCAGGATCCACGCAATAAAACGTTTAAAGTTTTAAATCATACTTTATAGGCTAATTCTTCAGACTTACATATAAACAATAAACTTCATTTCCTTGTTAGTGCGGGAATAAAATTCTAATCAAGGCAGTTATCACAGAAGAAAATATGTAATCCGCTTATGCATTGCATGCTACAAGAAGCAAGACACACACATATTTTATAGATCCTTTTTACTTAGGAATTTATTATCGATTATCAGGTGATAGCAGTAGCTTTTGATATAAAGTTCATTGCAGACCAATACGTTTGTTCTTTTACAATTCAGATGAAGAAACACCCTTCGTATCTTTAGACTGCGAAGAATCATCAAGTAAAGCTATATGCAAAAATGAAGGTTTGTTTTAATTTTGTTTGGTTTATTTCTATCTGATTTGTCCATCAATATTCTTTGTTTATCGTGCTTCGTCGTCTATTATAAATATGAACAATTTATTGTAAGGGTTGCAGTGGTTATGCATTGATGTTTTAATTACAAATCTAACAGAAAAAAATATTCTATTTCTCTATTATGAATAAAATATTTCAGTAATTGGATTGAAAGAAAATGGGAAAATTCTTTGTGGAGACATGGCGTATTTTGAAGCCAAGACAGGGAACGGTGTAGACACCGGTAATTGGCCAGTTTCTTTGATGAGACAAATAGGAGACACAACAGATCTCACTGACTTAAGTATAGAGAAGTACCATGAAAGGACTAGTAGAAGACCTGTGATACAAAATGTTGAAAAAGATGACCAGGGTGAATATCAAGCCTTGATATCAAGAGAAAAGGATGGAAGGAATATCAAAATACAAAGTAACATATTCTTCTTAACAAGCTTTCAAAGTTAATGGTATTTTTCTTTACATCTTCGTTTCATACCCCCCACCCCCAAACAAAAATCAAGAATGGTTTGGCAGAGGGAGGATGAACCAATAGAGCATGAGCAATTCATACAAAAGAAAATGCTTTCAAATTAGCACTGTATAATTTTATTTAATGAACTCAAGCAGATCAACACTCTCCTTCTAGGCACCTGATTCCAACTCTGGAATGTCGAGGGGTCCGTACAGTTTATGCCCTGCCAACAGACTTGTATTGTTTTAAGATTTCTAAAATTGATCAATGTTTTTATCATAGAGCCGATCTCTTCCACTGACAAAAGAAAAATTTAGAATTAATCATACGTATTCCAAAATATGCATATACCAACTTCCCAATCGGTTTATTGAGTAAGCTCGAAAGACGGTTTAAGTTTCCCGCATGGTCGAAAAATATATTTGAAGCTGGTGAATTATGTTGGAGTTATGTTGTTGTATCTGCAGATATACTTAAGAATAGCATTGATTGGTGTTTTTTAATGCTAAAAACATTATTTTGCAGATCCCCCAAATCTAGAGATTATCAACGTATCCTCAGAAATAGATTGCGTCAAAATTCTGTATAGTAGCCGTGTTGAAAATATATTTCCCGAATCAGACAAAATTGAGTGGACCAAGGATGGAGAACCTTTGACGACGAATACAAAGAAGTACAAAGGTGGTGGAATTACAGATGATTATCTGAAAATCTTATCTCCATCAGAGAACGACAGCGGTGAATACACATGTAGAGTATTCAATGATGCTGGATCAAACGTAAAGCGCATAGTTCTAGGTATTGTAATTATACACTAACCATGGTTGTTAATCATGTTTATATATTATTTAGCTAAAGGTAAATGTTAATAAATTATGCTAAATTGTGCTTTTTAGAAAAAGGACTGCATCAACGACTTTTTTCAGTTTTTTTTTTTCTTTTATGTCTCAGACTTTTTTATGAAAAGAAGAAAATTTCCTTTATACATGAATTTTCCTTAAAATCGTTCTAGCTGCCCCATCTGTAGAAATTGGCAAAGATCTGAAGGTTCCTTTAGGTGGTCAAATTAAGATTGAACCTGTCATTAAATCGTGTCCATCACAAGAGAAAGTATCTTGGCAAAAAAGCAAAAGTCAGGATCCTGATAATTTTATGAACATAGACATCAATGATTCCCGATATTTCGAAAGCAGTGTGGACCCAGAAAATCCCGTTCTCGTAATAAAGAAGACATCCTATTCGGACATTTTGTATTACAGACTAGAGGTCACAAATAGAATTGGAAAATCTACAAGCAATGCTGTTCGGCTAAAATTAGTTATTGGTGAGTTTAAATATAACCAAACACTGAGAAATGTATAGAAAGAATCACATTAAACATTATGATATAAACTAATTTTGGCATGTTTAGTTATTTACTAATCTCAGGCACAATTTCAAACTGTAAAGATTAAAAGGATCTACTTATTAATATAGAGGATTATTCCTCGAAGAAGGATATGGAGATAACAGTATTCAATCTTAAAGTCCGTAAAACAATACAAAACAAGAGCAGAGCAAACACGGACCCCCGAAACATCAGAGGTGAAATCAGGTGCCATGAGGAGTAAGCATCCCTTGCTGACCGGTCACACCCGCCGTGTGCTCCTTGTCATGATCAGAAAATAACGACAAATCTGTCGTCAATTCAGTGTATAAATAATGGACTAACAAATTGGTATGAAAAACGTCAGTCAGCTTTTGACTCAATGATAAATTGTATTTGCTGACAAGATCATTGTATCGACCATAGAAGTGACGAAATGATTATTTTAAACGAGACGGCCTATATTCCTGTTTCATCAACTTGCTTGTCAATAATTTACCTCGTTTAAGAAATTGTTCATATATAGAGTATGCTCTTGCGTATCGAATCAACTGAGATATATACACTCTGTATGAATGTGATGAAAGTATATTGCTGATTAAGAAAGGGAAGTTGACGATAGAAAAGTTAAAGTCATCACGTTTATCATATAGCTTGGTTGTTAGATTACCATTAGAGTCTTTGTCAAGTAAAATATACAAGTATGAAACAGATGTGTCAGACTCTATGGTATCTTTTATCTCAAGCTCACCAGGATATATCGTATCGACGTAGGCATGGAAATTACCATTGTTTATTGACAATACGTCGACGATATATCTAAATGTTGAGTTGAGGGCCACACTATGTGTTTTCTTCTTTTCACGCATAAGATTTTGTACAAATTCTGCTTCATATGAATATAAAAATAGGTCTGCTAATAACAGAGCGCAATTGGAGTTTCAATAGATTGTTGGAATATCTGGTGTCCAAAAACCACATAGATATTGTCAATCAGAAACTCAAGCATCTCTTTGATGTCAACTTCAGAGTACTAGTGTGTGCAATCAGAATGTATGTTAACAAAATAATTTTGCAAATGACCAATAACCAGGTAAGTAAATTTACGAGTTCCATTTTTATTGAAAAAGCAGCTGTCAATGATATCAAAAAGCCTGGATTTTAATTTATCGTGGGGAATGGTTGTATATAAAGTTGAAAAGTCGTAAGTTTTTAAGCTGTTGATTTTTGGTAAAATCTTGTGATTTCAGATTGTTCAAAAGTTCTTTGGAATTTTTGAGTGTCCACATCTGATTCACACCACTTTTTGAATATATCGTTGCACTGTACTCCAAAATAGTCTATATAAACTAATAGTGGGTTAAATATGAATTACGAGTACTTTGTGAGTTCCAAGACATTTTGTGAGAATTTTCAATTACTTATCTGTTGATTTTCAGAACCTATGGATCGAACTATTTTTGAAAATTAATATTTATCCTTTTCTTTACAGATCCTTCCTCTGTATTTACAAATCTTGAAACCAATATTGCAAATCAATGCGTTACAATTGTTTGCAAATTTTCTCTCTCCAATAATTCTCCAGAAGTCACGAATATTATTTGGACGAAAGACAAAGAATGCATCGACATTTTAGGTAGTCAAGGAAAATATGCTGGAGGAAGCATTGTTGATCCTTCGTTAGTAATACACAGAGTAAATTCAAACGACGTTGGAGAATACCAGTGTTACGTTTTAAATGCAGTTGGATCTATGGCTAGTAATCCGATCCATTTAGGTAAATAAAATGCGTTTGCATGGTACTGAATGTTGTATTTCATGGGCACAAATTCTTATGAATTTTAAGGAAAATATTAAAAGACTTAAAAATTAATCAATTTCGTATATCCTTGGGTCATTTAAATCACTCTGACGAAGTAGTAAATTGCTTTTTCTGTTTTTGTTTGACTAGAAATTCATGGATATATTTAAAAATATAAATATGTAAAATAAATATATAATTAGCTAAATATAATTCTAGTATTCTCTTAAAAATACAGCTTGATATAATCCAATATAAATTTATTGACTGGGTTTGAGGACATAGTATCATGCGTTTTGTTGGGCATAAGAATCACACTGTTTGCCTGGGGCCGTTAATAAGACTGAAGGCAAACAGTGCAGTTCGAAGGGTCAACAAAACGCATTTAGCCCGAGAACAGTCAATAATTTTTTTTACACCTTTTATTATTTTTTAACATACATGTATCAGGTGTCAGGTCATTTCTCTCTAAAAATTTTTCTCTCCCAGGTTATTTCTCTCTCCCACCATTTCACGGTAGGTCATTTCACGGTAGGTCATTTCTCTCTCCTACCTAGGTCATTTCACCCCATTTTTTATCTAGTCTTATATAATTATTTACAACTCCATTTTTTGTCTTATTAACTCGTATCTGGTCAATCAAATTAATTTTATTAATTTATGACTTATAAAAACTATACAAGAGGAAGTCTGCCGGTATCTTATTTACAGGAAAATAATTTTATTATTTAAAAAAAAAAAAATAGATACCGTTGCCCAGCCCTTGCCACGTGGAGGCCTCCTCATTAAGGACCATAATTTTGAAAGAAAAATTTAAAGCCAAATTTAATAAATTTAATAAAATGAATTTTTTTTACCTAATCTAATATAATTATATACAACTCTATTTTTTGTTATTTACTCGTATCTGGTCAATCAGTTTAATTTTATTAATTTATGACTTATAAAAACTATACAAGAGGAAGTCTGCCGGTATCTTATTTACAGGAAAATATAATTTTACTATGTTGTAAAAAAAAAATAAATAAATTGATACCGTTGCCCAGCCCTTGCCACGTGGAGGCCTCCTCATTAAGGGCCATAATTTTGAAAGAAAAATTTAAAGCCAAATTTAATAAATTTAATAAAATTATAAATTTATGCCTTAGCTAATAATGAAATTTTGTCTACGAAAAGAATATTAAGAAAATGAAGAAAGTCGAAACTAAAGAAAATTATTTTTTTTTAATAAAAATTTACTTTTACCGATTGTTTTCATAATGTTCAGCGTGACAACTATGAAGAATAAAAAATTAAAATGGATTTAGATTACATTCTGTCACTCTAGATCTTACGACAAAAAGGGAGAAAATGAACATAAAGTAAAACATCTTTTTGTAGAAAAAGGGTACCTGTATATCTCTAAACCATGTATGTAAATATTTACGAAGTTTTACGTTTTTGTACAAATTTTATTTAAACCCAAAAATGTTTTTATGAACGCGAAGAAAACAAAAATCTAAGGGAAAAATGCTATCAATGAAAAAAAAACAACCTGAAATGTAATATTTACATATATACAAAAGAATACGGCATGTACAAATATCCCAAGAATAAACGCGAATTTAACACCGAAAAAAAATCAGACTATCGAAAACTTACTCCGTGTGGCCATAAACACCTCCACAAATTCGCAAGAAATGGCTTGTAGTGATCATCTCATCGTCATAGTCCGACCAAGCTTGCCGAATTTTCTTCTCCACCCTTGTGCTGGTTATTCTGGCATCACGAGACAGGTCCTGTGCGGAAACCTGGACGTGCATAATTTCAGCCTCCTTCTGCAGCAGAGGAATCAAGCGGTAGAACCCAAGGTTTCCATTCCCAGCTTTGCCATTGAGACGATTGTGCCATCCTAGGTAATTTTTAAAGAATAAGCAAGTCAATAATATTATAGGGGGGAGGAGGTTACCGATAAATATTGAAGGCACATATAAGAAAAAGAATTACCTTCGGTATCGTTGTTAGTACGAATCTCCTGTTTGTAGATGGACCAGGCTGGAATAGGGAATACAGCGTTGTTAATCCACTGTCTTTCCATGTAGTCTGTGAGGGACTTTAGAGAGGAAGATTCCTGAACCTTTTCTTGCATTGCCCGGAATGTGGGGTTGATGTCATTTGTTTGGATTCCTGAAGCTCTTCTAGATCCACTCTCCTATTTTCATTCTTGCAGTCGTTACACTGCCAAGCTAATCCCTCCTCTCCACCCAGAATAGTCCAATACTCTTGCAGGGATACGTCTACAAAATTTGTTAAAGTAAAAATGTAGCCCAAAATTGCCTTTTTTCATTTATTTATACTGAATGTCAACTAGATTTTTTTTAATCTTACTTGTGCTGCACAAACGATGCTGCCATCTCTCGCAAATTTCACAACAAAGAGCGTGCTGTCTAGGTCGAACCTGTAATTAGCGATTAATAATTTAATTGGCTGCAAGATTTTAAAAATTTATTTCACCGTAAAATGATCCTTGTTTGGTATGTATATTATCCCTGTAAGAAAAATTATTTGAGTACTTAAGCCCCCCCCCCCTTTTCTTTTATCCGTTATCTGTTGACATCAAATTCGGAGTTAAACCAGAGATGATTTTTGATACAAGTTCAGACTTACTAAAATCAAAGAGATCTATCTATTTGTTCTGTAAATTACACAATTTAAACAAATCACGTTTCATTGATATCAGAGATTTAAAACAATAAGCGATTTATTTCCGACTGGGATAAAATATCAGAAACAGTTTAAAGTCAATTTAACCTACAGAAACTTTAGCATATAAAATCGATGATAATTTTATTTGAACGTACATTTAGAACGTCTTAATCTATACTTAATCTCGTACTTTCATTTATTTTAGCTCCGATACGCCATATATAAATACATGTAGCTTTAATAAGGATTCGTTCAGGAGAAGTCTATCATTTCTTATACATGTATGCAAGAGAAATAATGTAGCAAAATGTTTGTAACAATCAGGAATTTTTAAATTAATATCAGCACCATTGTTTTATATGCATTTATTGGCCAGTTTATTTTCATTCGATTCTTCTTTTAATTCTTTTCTAAGGTACAATAAACTACGTACTTGCTCAAAAAAAAAACGTGCTCGTACAAAAAAGAAGGAATTTTTCAACTTACTTGTCTGTGACAGTCCAAACATTTTGGATTAGTCATCTTGACGAAAATTTGTGATTTCTAGAAGGTACTGCAGTGAATGTGATTTTTAGTGAAATAAAAAATGGCAAAATTTTTATTTATATAATCTGGCTGAACACATCTGTGTACAATACACAAAGTTGACATTTTCTGTCATTAAGTCCAAACGAGTAATATGATTGTGGTGTCAATCTGTGAAATTGACAACTTACGGATAAACATATGTACCCAGCATGTATATGTATAAACACCGTGTAAGGTACCATAAAACGGTCAGACAGCAATTACGAAATCTAACAATTATATATTTAATCCTGATAAAGGTCATAAACGAATGATGACAGGACACTAAACAAACTTAAGGACTTCTATTCAATTTAAATTTTAAAACTATAAAAATAAATAAATAAATAAATAAATAAATAAAATAAATAAAAATCGCATCGCTTTCAATCTTAGTTAATTTATATTCCATAGAAAGAAAGAAAGAAAGAAAGAAATAAAATAAAATAAATGAATTCGCTAATTAATAAATAATTAATTAATCAAAAATATGAATTTAGGAATGAATTAAAGAATACTTTAAACAAATAAAAAAAAGTAACTTACAGACAAATAAATGAATAAATCGATGAATTCATAAATGCATTACTTTAATTTACGGAAGAAAATCAATACCCATGCATGCTTTTCTTTGCGAGAAGTTGTTTGATTTTATTTTATAAAGGATAAATAACTTTTTTTACCATTCATTGCAATCTGTTTGGAACTCTTTCAAGATTGAGAATTCCATCTTGAAATTGTTAAATAAATGAAACGACATTAAGATTTGCCGTGGAATATATATCGGCAAATATTTACAACACCATGTTGAAATCGATCCATTAAATGTATTTAGTTAGGACCTAGTTAATAATGGTAAATTTGAAAGCAACATAAAAAAGGAATGTTTTTGTTGAATGACTGAAATAAATAAATAATTAATTCATAAATATATAATTAAATAAATGAATAAATTAAAAAATATAAATAAATAAATAAGTAAATAAGTAAAAAATAAATAAATAAATAAATAAAATAAAATAAATTAACCGTAAAGGACGCATGTTAAATGTTGAGTTCAATAATTATGATATCAATAGAACTTGTTATAATTACATTTATTCTATAAGTCATACAATTTTCATGTTGGAGTGAAATGACCTGGGTTGTGGAGAGAAATGACCTGGGTAATGGAGGGAAATGACCTAGGAGAGAAATGACCTAGGCGGAAATGACCTAGGCGGAGCAGGTACTGGGGAGAAATGACCCGGATTCCATGTATCATATGATGGCTTTATTGATGAAAATTAGAACCGAGGCTTAAGTAGGTCAATTCCGTCACTGTCGAACACCAGCGAATACAAATGCTAATCCCTACCATTATATGACGTGAGGTCCACTATTCCACTATACGGCGAAACATCTCTTAATGACCTTGCAGTAAAAAAAGGAAGTGTTAGGTTTTACTCATAAAGTTTTATATTGGAAAAATCTTTTTAAAATATAACAATTCAAATTTAAATTTTTAATGCAACTTTGGAATGTATATTTAATAAATTAGATTTCAAATAATGAACAGGTATTGTAAGAAGAAGAAAAAAGAATCTTAAAATTGGAAATATTTGCAAGGATAATAATTTACATTTTTGTTAAACAAACATTTCCTGTTAAAAATATTTCTACAAAAACAATGAAAAATGGTGCAATGGTGGCACAACTTCCTACAATCGATTGATACTTTTAAACAAAAATTAATCATATATTTTTTCAAACTGATACAATGAGCGATTTTAAAAGGTTCGGATAATATAGCTTTTAATATGATTAACTGTATTATTTGTTAGGTATGAATCAATGCATCAATGCAAAACGTGGGATAATTTGCACAAGAGGCCCAGAGGCCACATCACTCAAATGAGCGACTGGCTAGGTTAAAGCAAAAATCAGTTATAAACTTTTAATATAAAAGTGGGTTCAGAAGATGGTGGAGGTGCACATGTAGTTGAACAAACTTTAATCTTTACCTCCTCTATACCTCCTACAACTGATTTTAATTGATATGATACATAATGACTTTGCTGATTATAAGATGAATATTTTAACTGATATAACTTTTATATTCCCTTATATAACAATGATTGGCTTTCAAGGATCTTCGATCTCATGGATTTACATTGTTTTTAATGCTTTAATATTGATGATCACTAACTGAGGATGCTTCTACATAAGTTTCATCTTTTCTGGCCCAGTGGCTCTTGAGAAGAAGATTTTTCAAAGATGCCATTAATTTTGCAAACTCCCAATTATCTATCCCTGGAAGAGGGCATGATCATTTATTTGAGCAAACTTGATTCCCTTTAAACAAGGATATTTTGTGTTATATTTAATTAAAATTGGCCCAGTGGTTCTTGAAATAAAGATGAAAATTTGAAAAGTTTACGACGAAAACGACACACAATGGACAAGTTTTGATCGGGAAAGCTCACTTGAGCCTTCCCTCAGGTGAGCTTATACTAATAACGACTAAATTCCGTTTATCATAAATGAATCCACGTTTCATACTCTTGTTGTATCCGACAAACTAGACAGTAACTTTTTAGATAAAAATTTATATGAGAAATAAAATTGTAAACAAAAATGTCATGCTGTCTAATAGATATAAAATACACGATGGATTTAAATATTCCCCTTCCACTGACGCCTGACAAATAGATCGTCATACATGTTAGGCTTCTGATTTTTCACTTGGCAATATTAAAAATGAGGTTTAATCACCAAGATATCAACAAACCTAACTTTCAATTTTTTTTAAAACAATTTATTTCCCAGACCTAATCTATAAAAACATATCAACTAACATTACTAGAAAAAAAATAAGGCAACTGCCAGGGATGGGGCCCTGACTAAGCTCCTTCTAAACAATGATAATGTGCCCCTATGACATCACGCAGGATGTTATAAACTATATAGAAAAAAATTAAAGTACAATTATTTTCAAAAAATATATTTATACAGTATTCATAAGGTAGATATATTCAGTGTAGCTGTCAACCGAGGGAGCCACAAATACGTTTCACAGTCCATTTACTCCCCCCTTTTTGACAGCACTACGGGAAGACAGGTCCCTTCCCAGTAGTATTTATACAAGAATATATAATTTTCACATTAGTTTGAAAAGATTTTCGAAAATCCTTAGCTCAGTGTTACCATATAGAAAGCGTAATACAGAAGTGTAGAAACAAATTGATTTTTTTTACATGATTATATAAATTATATTCAGTTTCACTCAAAGACTCCAATCTACATAACATTTTATGTTTATAAATTCTATATGCCACATACGTAATAAGTAAATTAAGAGATCTAGTTTTATCATTTTTTTTTAATGGAAAAACCCAACAACAATATGTTTCCACTGAATTTTAAATGATAAAAAACTACTTATAGTATTCCATATATTAGACACATTATTACATTCAAAAATCAAATGTTTCTCATTTTCTATTTTGTTACAATGTATACACATAGGAGATAAAAATTTTTTCCACTTACTCACATAGGCATTGTTACATAATATATTATTCAATAGTTTGTAGCTAAATTCTGCTATGTGTTTATCTCTTATATCTAAAATGTTACATTCATAAATATTTTTCCAACTTGACTCCTCAAATATTCCAAAATCTTTAGATAATATGGCTTGAAAACTGGGTTTACAAACTTTTTTTCAATAAGATTTTTGTAGAAAACGTTACTTGATTTTCCTGATATGTTGAAGTTCCCTTAAGGGAAGTTGAAGTTAATTACATTTTGATTATTTATGTTGCTTGCATTTGAAAAATTGTGTGTTCTTCGAATATTCTTAGTAGCTGACAGAAGAATTCTGTACTCACATAGCCAATTAGATTTGTCAATTATATTGGAAAAATGTTCAAGTGGTCTGATGCAACCCTTGTCATCAAACAATTCATATATATATATATATATATATATATATATATATATATATATATATATATATATATATATATATATATATATATATATATATATATAAAATTCCAGATTTAATCCAATTGTCAAAGAAAATAGCTTTTCCTTTATAGACCAAATTACGATTATTCCAGATTGGCTGTTGCAAAATATCATCAGAAGATGTTTTATCAAAGTTTAATTCAGTTTTACATTCATTAAAACAACTTAGAACTTCTTTGTAAAATAAAGGAACGTGTATATTTTTTAAGCTATCCACACCTATTGATGAAAGCTTCAAAGAGTTCACAGAAAAAAAATATACAATCATAATTGTAAATATTTTTATTTATTACTAGTTATGGCACGCCAAATTCACAAAAATTAGCAAAACATAGTTTCACAGTCGATAAACTAGGTTTATCGGTTGTAAACTATAGATTACAGACTGTAAACTATAGTTAACAACGTTAATCTATATTTTACATCTGTAAACCATGGTTAACGCGAAAATCTATGTTTCACAACCGTAAACTATACTTAACATCAAAAACATAGATTATCTGATAAATACAGTTTCACGATTTGTAAACTATAGTTTACAAACCGTTAACTATAGTTAACGATCTGATAAATATAGTTTCAAGATTTGTGAAACTATGATTAACAACTCTTAGCTATAGTTTACGATTGTAAACTATAGTTTACAAACTTGAATCTATGTTTATCAACAAAATCTATTGTTAACGCTTTATTGAGACAGATAATCTTAGATTAGCATTCGTAAACTATAGTTAACGACCGTTAAATATAGTTTTACAGATGAAAACTATACTTAACGAATCGTCAACTATACTTAACGAATCGTTAACTATAGTTTACGGTTTGTAAACTATAGTTTACAGTCGATAAACCTAGTTTATCAATTGTGAAACTAGGTTTATCTCATTTTTGTGAATTTGGCGTGCCATAACTAGTATATCTAAAACCATAAAAGACAGCAATAACAAACTAAAAATTGAATAACCTATATTCTAGGCAATCCTATAGTTCAAAACGGCAATTACGAAAAGGATGAAGAAACTGACAAAATAACCTGTACTGTTGTGGTGGAATCTATTCCGGATGCCCTGACAGCAGAATGGAGAGTTCAACAAACCCCAGAAGAGGATTTTCAACCAATAGATGTTCACGATTCAACTTACAGAGGCTCAACTGTTTCCTTACCACAACCAGTTTTGATTGTTCATGAATACAGTAAAAAGCAGGGTCAACAATTTCAAATTAGCGTGTCAAATTTCATTGGGGAAACTAAAGAAGTCATAATTGGTACATCGTTTACATGAATTATATTTTGTATTTTTAAATTAAATTACTAAACATCACTTTTACTTTTACTTTTATTCATAAAAATGTGCAAATATATCCAATTTTTGAAGACCTACTTAAACAGTTTCAAAGAAGTGCGAATTTTAGTATTGTTCTCCCGCCTACCTCAAAGTCAATTTTCAAAAGTTAAGATATTCGAATGGTTTTATAATTTTTTTTATAGATATTTTTTAAAATATGGATTTTCCTAAAACGTTACTTATTTGGGAAAACAAAGAAGGATATGGAGATAACGAACAGTATTCAATATCAAAGTCCAAAAAGATACAAAATAGGAGTAGAGCAAACTCGGACCTCCCGAAACATAAGAGGTGGGATCAGGTGCCATGGAGGAGTGAGTATCCTTTGCTGACTGGTCACACCTGCCGTGTGCTCATTGTCATTATTGTGAAATAATGGAAAATCCGTCTTCAATTCAGGATATAAATAATGGACTAACAATAAGTATGAAAAGACTCAATGATGAATTGTATTTGTTGACAAGGTCATTGTATCGACCAAAGAACTTTCGACATGATGACTTTAAGCTAGACTGCTGATATGAGTAAAAAAAATGAGAACTCTAAAGTTTAGTAAATCTTGAGTTTTTCACTATAGAAGTCAACGGAAAACAGAAAACATTTTTAAAACATCAGTCCCCTGTGAAACAATAATTCCTTTTTACATGTACCTATAATATGGACTGTCATTTTACAAATTTATGCCAAAGCTTCTTGTGTTTAACAGGGGGAGGGGGGAATATTTCTGGACAACAAATCTTTTTTGTTATATCATTATTTGTACACGATGATTAAAATGTTTTGGGGATATTCTCTAACAATAAGTATTTACCCTTAACAACATTATTAAACCATATGAATATTTATTTTCTTATCTTTTTTTCTGAAGAGTAATTAAAAAATAACATTTTCAATGATAAAAGCACAGAATAAACATGATGTTAATTTACTTTTAGAATTATTTAAAATAATAAGTCATTTATCAAATTTTAAATAAATCAATTTGAGTACAAATAAAATAGAGTATATTTAACAACTTTTGTGATGTTTGTGTTGCTCATTATTTATATAAGATGGAAGATGATATGGCTAATTAAATTTATATTGCAGAAAAGAAAACCAGAAATGAGGAAAGTGCTCAAAAGGCGCATAGTAAGTAATAAAAAAAATATTAGATAGAAGAAACTAATGTGACATTTAACAACTTGTTATTCGAATCCTTTTTTAGATAAACAAATGGATTTTTATCGAAAAAGAGGTCTAAATATACCGTTTGCCAATCTAAGAGACGATCTTGAGAACTCGTTTCCACAAAGTGAGCTTGAAAGGTTCAAACACTTACTTATTGGTAAGATTTCTTTTACTTTTATAGCTATAACATAAAGTAGACTTTTTTATTATGATAAATCAAATAGTCTGGGGGATATTCTTTAACAATAAGTATTTACACTTAACAACATTATTAAACGATATGAATATTTGATTGTTTTTTTTCAATTTCAATGCATTCTAGACAACGGGAAATAGTTAAAATGGGGACATATTCAGTTCAAAATTAATTGTATAAGGATATTTTTGTTTCTTTTTTTCTCTATAACTTTTTTTCACATTCTAAGCTGTGAATGCGAGTTTGGGTTATCATTTCTAGAATAATTTCAACAGCTATTAAAATACCTTACAATGAAAAATTGCCGGATCCTGTAAAAAAATATTTAATTGCAGCACTTCCAAATATCAAGACAACAAAATATATTTATTTAAATCTGAAAACAATATGTAGAAAGAAGATACGAGTAAACCTTTGCAGCCCCTTATAATCCTCAATAATGTTTACGTTTCACACCACGAACTTAATCAAACAGCGGCTAATTCAATGTCATTGTAACATATTTCGATGAGACTAAATGACTTCTGTGTACCTCACCCACCTACGACAAAAGTTAGCAAAAGTATGCGATGGAAAGTACTTAGTTTACTCCTTCATGGCACCTGATCACACCACTGATGCTTTGGAGGACATAGTTTGCTCTTCTCCTATTTTTTGTATCGTTTAATAACATCTGTCCTGGGGGCCATAAAACTTAGACGAGCTCACTTTTGATCTCAGTCTCACTTTTCTACAATATATGCCTTTGAAAAAAGTTAGACTGAGATCAAAAGTGAGCTCGTCTAAGTTTTATGGCCCCCAGGCCAGAACTCAAATGCTGTTTGTTATCTCCACATATTTCACTCGATGCATTAAATTCTGAAATAAACTCAAATACACGTTTAAGGAAATAAATCGGAAACAATAAGTAGAATGTTCAAAGGAATGCATGTGGTGCCAGCTTTTTGCTTCCTTAAAGATGACTATCCAAAAGGGGTAAGCTTTTCATTTGCTACTAGCATATTATAGTTCATGCCAAAAAAAAAACACGGATAGTAAGATAAAATCTGACAATCAAATAGAAATATCACTTTCTAACCCCTCAATGTTAAAATGGATATTCATGAATTTTAAAATTGTGAATAATTATTAATCAATTAATTTATTATTAGGTGATTTCAAATATACTTCAAACAAGAGGTCCAGGGGCCACATCGCTCACCTGAGCAATTGGCTAGGAAAAAGCACATATCAGATCAGAACTGAAAGTTAACTGAGGGCGGGGAGGGGGGGCTTGAATTTTAACCGCCCAGGGGGTCATGATTTGAAGAAACTAGAATCTAAAATACCCGAGGATGATTCCCTATAAATATCACTAAGCATGGCTTTGATGTACTTGAAAAGAAGATTTTAAAAGGTTTCCCTATATATTCCTATTTAAAACTTTTATCGGCCATTTGGTCAAACCCTACCCCCGGGGGTCATGATTTGAATAAACTTGAATCTACACTATCTGAAGATGATTCCACATGAGTTTCATCTTTCCTGTCTCAATGGTTCTTGAGAAGAAGATTTTTCCTATAGATCCCTATGTAAAACTTTGATCGGCCATTTTGGCCAAACCCTACCCCCTGGGGGTCATGATTTGAACAAACTTGAATATACACTACCTGAGGATGATTCCACATGAGTTTCATCTTTCCTGTCCCAGTGGTTCTTGTGAAGAAGATTTTTGAAAAATGCCATCAATTTTTCTCTAATTCATAATTATCTCCCCTTGGAAAAAGGCCCTTCATTTGAACAAACTTGAATCCCCTTTACCCAAGGGTGCTTTGTAGCAAGTTTGATTGAAATTGACCCAGTGTTTCTTGAGAAGAAGATGAAAATGTGAAAAGTTTACGACAACGACGACAACGACAACGACAGACAACGGACAAAATTTGATCAGAAAAGATCACTTGAGCCTTTGGCTCAGGTGAGCTAAAAAGACTTCAGTCTGTCTTTACCGCGATTTTCAGTCTACACCATTCATTTTGGAATATCGATCTAAAAATTTCAGTTTTGGTAGTTACTGTATTTTTTAAAGTGTCAAAGTGCATTTTCATAATCTCATTAGTATGTATAAATATCATTTATCAAACCTCACCACTCTAAATTTAAATGACATAAGGAAATTTTAACCCTCTCAGCATAATTCGTTTCGTTTGAACATATTTTATTGTTTAGATGTTATAACAAAAGGATTAGACACAAGTTCTTAAAACTTAGAACGTCCTCTCCTAATTAACTTAGTTAAGGGGGACCTATGTCGTTCTACGTCATAACAGCGTTTTGACGTCACAATAGCGACGTTTCTTTTATACCTGTTGGCTTTTGCTAAGTTCTGTGATTTAGGTCTAACATTGTAAATAGTCAATACCATACACACGTTTCAAAAAGAAAACTTCTTCATTATTAATAATTGTTATATATAATAGTTATTTTGTTGATTTATAGAGTTTGTTTATATTAGAATTTTCTACCGGTGGTTTGATAATTCATAGCATTTTCAGTGTTTAAAACAGACGTCGATAATATGCTGGTATAAGTTCTAAAAGAAAATTTAAAATTCAGCGAAGAAAGCTGCTTAAATCAGGAGAAATATAACTAGTAATTTCAGCATTACATTAATTTTTTTTTTTCTCGATAAAATTTAAAACGAGATTTTAAAAAAATTGTACTTGTAGATACAAGTCAACATTTTAAATTCATTTTGAATCTGATTTGAGATTTTTGTTCTTTTTTTTAGCGCATTATACTTTTAAAAAAAAATAATGTCTGTAAATAATCTTTTTTTAGCATTTCACATACATTTTTTGCACGTGCTCCTGTATAAAAATTACATAGAAAGGTATTATTTTTAATGCCTTAAAATTTAAAGCAAGTGTTCATGAATGAAATGTGTAAGTTTTGAAAATTTCACACAAAGACTTTTCAGACATAGGCCCCCCTTAAGTAGTCGAAGGTCAAGTTGACTGTAATGGTTGTATTTTTTAAAATGTTTTAGAAGAACTGTACATTCTAACTTAACTCTTAAATGTCAAAAATGAAGTTTACCGACGATGTAAAGTATTTCATAAAGTTGGTCATAGGTCAAGTTCAAGTATACCTAGGTCTGACACCAATGTAAAATACAAAAGAGCCAAGATATATTTGTGCAAAATATGAGAATGAATATGATATTTATATACTAGTAATTGTTGACAAAGAACTATATGCGGTATATTGCATATATTTGTCCCCACAAAAGTCAAATTTTGAAAACTTCCTGAAAGTGCTGAATTCAATAAATTGTATGAGAAATATAAATTAACAGAAAATATTATAGTTTCAAAGCAGTATATTTACAATGTTTGATTTTATGACGTCACAAACTAGTCCGATTTTATATCCTTTTTCAGAAAGAGGACAAAATGGACAAAATTTCAACAATTTTAGCTTTAAAATTTGTAGAGCGCAAGTTTGTTCAGGAACAATATTGACATATTTCATTGATATTATCATTCTACACATTATATCAAAATTTTGATCCTGAA